TTAAATGCTTCTGATTGTTTGATCAGCTCTCGGATTGATATTAAATAGAAATGAATTCGAGAGAGTATTTCTTGTTTGAAGTTAGGAAAACATAGCTCGGGGTGAGGAAACGGAGACGTGATCCACTTCGGATAGCCCTTAAGAACTTGACCTAAATACTCTCTTAATAGCAGGTTCTGAACGGAGACGTCGGACCTGTGGGTAGACTCTAACTACATTGGAGATGGGTGTTAGAGTACTTTAACGTCTGGGTTAACGAATAGGAATGTGACTTTAGATAACGGATTTGTAGATCGTTGTTGATTATACATAGGTGGATTTGGCCCTAGAAGGTCCCTTTTAAATCGAAGCCCTCCCGTATTGAGTTGCCGTTATTTTGTTTACGTACATTCTATACTTGCATGTTTATGATCTTGCATGCTTTTAAACTAGGGTTTATCACCATTCCAATTATTTACGATCGGCTAGATAATATAATTACACTACTTAGCATGTGAATCTACAAGGTCCATGTGGATCGATATCCGGAACCACTGTTATGTAAAATGCGATATTGTATACTTGCGGAAATTTATACGTTAGGAAAACGCGTATCAGTTAATCTCATCCGTTGATTTTTTTTGTACGACCTAGTACGATCTAGTACGATACTGGGATTTTTAAAATAAAAGTACGAACCCAGTAATAACAGATCATACACACATTGTACAGTTATATAAATTACCTAATTAACGTTACAAACTCAACAAAAAAATGTGAAATATCCATTAAAAAATATTACAATAATCATAATCAATTAACAAAATTACAATAAAAAATAAAATCAACACTCCCCAAATTCTTCATATAAGAACGCAACCACTTGTCTCCATCCCAGCCGATCTTATGCAGATAGCGGTGTTGCGGGTCGGCCGCGGCGACTCTTCCGACAAAGATGAAGAACACAAAGAAATTTCTTAAAAATAAAGAGGTTTTTTCTTAGCTTGTGGCTATTGCTAAAGCTCCAAGAATGTCGAATTAGTCAGGTATATTTTGGAGGTTTCATTCATTTGTAGCACGATGGGAATAGGCTTTATTAATCATTATTAGTCGAATCTTTTCTTTGGTATTGTATATCATTTTGAATGTTCTGATGTACTCTTATTTCATCTTTTTTTGGTACGATAAGAATATGAAATCATCTAACGAGATTACGAGGTCCATGTTTGTTCATTAATTCATAAAACTTTTCTTGTTGATGTTGTGTATCATTACCCTATGCTTTGGTTATGATTTATTTCATTTGAAATGAGGTGTTAGTAATTTTATGGTGTTATCAGTTAAGTGCCATTATCAATCCTCGAGGAGCTAATAAGGAACCGATAAAACTTTTCTTGTTGATGTTGTGTATCATTACCCTATACTTTGGTTATGATTTATTTCATTTGAAATGAGGTGTTAGTAATTTTATGGTGTTATCAGATAAGTGCCATTATCAATCCTCGAGGAGCTAATAAGGAACCGAGGACCACCACTATATCTGGACTCTTGGCCAATTCCGGCAGAAATTAAATTGTAACTGTACTAGCCTCGTTGGCTAGTGGCGGGCCAAATCCATCGGCGACCACCCCCATCACCCCCTCGTCGGCAACTCCTCAGTCGGATGCTTGTGCACCAACCACACATGTTGAAACCCCTAGGCGACCACCATGACTCCACCTACTGGCCCACCGCCTTCTGATTCTGCATCAGTTTATTTGACTGTTACCGTCTTGCTTCTCTTATTGTCCACTTCAGTAGCCTTTAATCTCCAAGGGAAAAAAATATACTTTTTGGGTATATTTTATTATGGTACTTTACAATAAAACTTTGTTTGAACTTATTATAATTTACATCTCAATTTTGTATTCGATTCTAGTGTTTCGCATATTGTTTCTTTCACGGTTGATCAGTATATATATTTTACTGTGAGAATAAGAACTAATTGCAAATACCTCCCCTATGTAATCTCTAATTGGCAAATACCCCACTGTCAAAAAACAACTCACCAACGCCCCCTCGTGTAATCAAACTCAAAACTCACAGCACCCAATATGTTTTTAGGCATTATTTTACTACACAATTATTTTTAATTGTTTTTTTGATGTGTAGTTATTTTTAATTTTATAAACAATACTTATTAATAATTTTATTGTAATTATAAAATATAAACATAAATTAAACATATATTGTTGTATTAGATTTTATATTTTTTATATTTTTTTTATTACATTTTAATTTACGTTAAGAAGAAAAAAAGAAAACGAAAGGAACAACAAAAAAATAGTTGTCTTCTTCCATGCTCCACCCCACCCCACACCACCAACCACCCAACTCAACATTTCTTCTCCCCACGCCGGCCGTTGCTGCCCCACCACCAGATCACCCTTTGTTGCAGCCCCACCTTCTTTCTGGATCCACAACCCACAACCGTGATTTTTTTTTCCGAATTCGCAAAGTACCATTTGTCCTCCAATTTCACTCTTCCTATGGCAGCCCATATATGTAATTTGAACAAAGGCGGCGACGACGGCGATTATGTGCACGAGAAGAAAAACCTTACCTATACACAACTCTCTCTCTCGCTAAGAATTGGGTGGTGCCAGACGGTGGCGGTGACGAGCGAGAGAAATTTGAAGGAGTAGGTGGGTATCGGTGGTGCGAGACGGGCCAGAAGACGACGGTAACGAGGGAGATAAATTTGAAGGAGTAGGTGGGTGGCAGTGGTGCTAGACGAGCCAGAGAGCGGCGGTGGTGCTAGACAGGCCAGAAGGCGGCGGCGATGCCGAATTTTTTCATGGTTGGGAGGTGGGCGGCGGAATGGAACGAGGAAGAAGATCTGAAAAATCTTCAATTTTTGTTCCTTATTTTACAATTTTGGAAATTTTAAAATTTACAATTTAGTCCTATAAGTTATAGTTATTTATAATTTAACCAGTCAGATTTTTTTTTATTTATACAGGGGTATCTATGACATTTCACCCTAGAAATGACATAAAAATTCGCAGAGCCCGCGAATGAGAGACACGATTTGCCTTAAGGGGTCTAGATGCATTGACTTTGGTTACACGAGGGGGCGTTGGTGAGTTTTTTTTTTTTTTGACAGGGAGGTATTTGCCAAATAGAGATTACACATGGGAGGTATTTGAAATTAACTTGTGAGAATAATTATGTGAAAAGACAAATATATTTGTTTTATAAACGACAAACGGGCAAATAAGGACACATTATAATTTCAATGCCAAAGTAATATCTTCTTCACACAGTAATTACAACATGTGTCAAATGTTTGTAACATATTCAAAATAGTGTAATTGATAAGTTTACTATCAATTTATGAAGACGAAACGTGACCTGATATAATATAATGCAGCAAACACAACCACATGGAAATCAGTTCAACTGTGATTGGTATCAGTTGAACTGTGGTTGTATATAACTTCATAGGTCTCGAAATGTTAGGGTGTCGATATTGTTAGAATCTCGATGGGATTCTAAGTCCACAACACCATGTGGAATTCTATGGAGATGTGTATTAATATGAGGAACATATTTTCCTTAGTTATCTCATTAGATAATTTGAGAAGAAATAAATTATCTCTCCAAATTAATCACCTGAACGTGGATCTCCAAAATAAAAGGAATTTAACATTTTTAATATTGTGTTTCTTTTCATTAATTAGTTTAGGTCTTCACAAGAATATAAAAGGAGGAGCTAATGCCGAAGTTATTTGCTGAGTCTTTTATCACGTGGATGATTTACCACGCCGGCCTCGAAGTCTACCAAGCCAAGTAAACAAAGGGAAAGAATGAAGTCATGTACAAAAGGAGCTGCCCAAGGACCACCTACAGGGGGAAAAACACATGCATGGGGAGGTGACTCCGTTGTGAACCACCTGCCGAAGCCACTATTGTTGGAACAGTTGCTCTAACTGTGGCACTTACTGCTACAACAGTTCATGCCACTCTTGTTGCTGAAAGAGATGATGATGATGAGTTGTTCCTTTGATGTTGAGGATGATCATTGGTTTTATTGCTTCATTCTATCCTCTATTGTTTCATTTTTAGGCATTTAACTCACGGGGAGAAAATGATTAGAATCAATCAATGACAAAGGGGGGGATTGTTAGAATCTAATTGGATTCTAATAAACAAGGGATGAGTAAAGACTTGTGCAACAAGTTCTTATGTAGCGTGAAACACAAAAGGGAAGTCTCCTTGTTTACTTTAATTCTTTAATTTGTCATTAATTGTTTGTTTTATATAGGAAACTATATTATTAATTAAAAAGAGTTATTCTTAACTTAATGAGTTGTGTAGAAGTCATGTGAAAGAAGAATTCTTTCTTTCCATATATTTCACACAGATGTGTGGCAATCAAGAGAAGGGATAATTGCTTTTTATTTTTTTTTCTTATATTGTCATTAATTGGAATATTATTATTTTTATGGGATCTCTCTTGTATTTTAATAATATATTATTAGATAGGTATCTTATAAATCTCCTACATCTCCTGTACGTATCTAACCTTAATTAGTTTGCTTATGGCGTGTCTTTTTGGAGAGAAACAGATCTCTCTTTTCTTTGTTGTTATTGTGTGCTTTTTGGAGAGAAAAATATTTCTCTTTTCCACGTTGCTCTTCCGGCAAATTTTTATAGAGAGAAGAGTTCAGAGAAAAAAAAAATTCTTCTCGTTTTTATTGCTCCATTGTGATACGTGATTTTCATAGAAAATATATCGGCTTCAAGGCTTTGTGGTGAAGACACCAAGATTCAAGGATTATCACAAGTTTGCTTCTTCTATACAAAAAGAAGATCGGTTCTTCGGGAGAGGGGCTTAAACAAATCTCGGGAGGAGATCGATCTGCCGACTGAGGGATTCAGCGTTGAAGGGAGTCCAACCGTGCGGAGCAATAAAAACAAACAATTAATGACAAATTGTTTGTGATAATCCTTGAATATTGGTGTCTTCACCATAAAGCCTTGAAGCCGATATATTTTCTATGAAAATCACGTATCACAATGGAGTAATAAAAACGAGAAGAAAAAAAGTATTTTCTCTGAACTCTACTCTCGATAAGAAGTCGCCGGTGGAGAAACAAGGAAAAGAGAAATATTTTCTCTCCAAAAAGCACACAACAGCAAAAAAGAAAAGAGAGATCTGTTTTTCTCCAAAAAGACACGCCGTATTCTGTTGCTACTTCTTCTTTTTATATAGCCTCGGAAAAACTCCTGTATAAGCAAACTAATAAAGGTTAGATACGTACATGAGATATAGGAGATTTATAAGATACCTATCTAATAATATATTATTAAAATACAAGAGAGATCCCATATAAATAATAATATTCCAATTACTGATAATATAAGAAAAAATAAAAAGGAATTATCCCTTCTCTTGATTCTCACACGAGTGTGTGAAATATATGGAAAGAAAGAATTCTTCTTTCACAAGACTTGTACACAAGTCATTAAGTTAAGAATAACTCTTTTAATTAATAAGATAGTTTTCGATATAAAAGAAACAATTAATGATAAATTAAAGAATTAAAGTAAACAAGGAGACTTCCCTTTTGTGTTTCATGGTACATAAGGACTTGTTGTACAAGTCTTTACTCATCCCTTGTTTATTAGAATCCAATTAGATTCTAGCAGATACATTACAAAATCATACAAACACTGTTACCATCAGATGATCAAATTGCCGACAAAATAAAAATGGATTAACAATCATCCAGTTCTACAGGACACATGGGAAAATCAATATGTATGGAAGAAAAGATTTGTCTCACATTTCTCTACGCCGTACGATAAGAAGAACTACATGATGATTTCTTGCTCAGAGAACTTTGCCAGAAAGAAGGAAAAAATCGATGATGATTTTTTTTAGAGGTAAAATTGTTTATGAATTAATGAGATTTCTCTACGCCGTACGATAAGAAGAACTACATGATGATTTCTTGCTCAGAGAACTTTGCCAGAAAGAAGGAAAAAATCGATGATGATTTTTTTTAGAGGTAAAATTGTTTATGAATTAATGAGATTGATGTAAGTGGGTCTTAAGTTTAAGGAAAGCTATTAGATTTGATCGTAATATTTTTTTTTCATTTGCTATGTGGAGCATTTGTATTGGCCGATTATGGTCCGAGAAGTACAACCCTCTCGGACCTTAGACAATCCCATGTTTGTTTAGGTTTTCAAATTCTTTTCATTATTTTCCCAAAATAAAATTATCTTTCTCAAATATTTTGAAAAACTTCCCCAAAAAATAATTCAAATATTTCTCTATCTAACAGACATGATTTGACTGCTACAGTGAAAATTGTTTTCACTAAAATACGAACTAAAATCACTCTATCTTTCAAATTCTTCTTTCAAAATACATTTTTCCAACACATTTTAAACATGATTTAACTCGCTACAGTTCAAATTGTCTCATCTCAAAATACAAACAACCTTTATTTTATTTTCAAATTCTTCTCCGAAAACATCTTTTCTCCATAATAAAATGGAAATGGAAGCCCAAAAGCTCACAAAACATATCCATTATTCTTTCATCTTTCCCGTCAAACAAAAGCCACCCACCGGACCCCACATTTTCATCATCTTCACCGTCATACCAAACCCATCAACCACCATCCCGTCTCTAAACCCAAGCCCAACTCCTCTCTGTTATAGACCTCAAATTGGAGATTCACCGCTGAGATTGTTAGGGGCCCATCGGTATACCACAAGCTCTACATATGTATGATATTGTCTAATCTGGGCCAAATCCTATTGGTTTTGCTCTTGGGTTTTTTTCTAAAAGGTCCCATAAATAGAGTTGCTATCCCCTCCTCCCCTCCTTATCTCCTTATAAAGAAGTGATATTTTCCATATTAAACGGATGTGGGACTATGCTTGCACCTCAACAGTGATTCACCGTCGCATACGTCGGAGCTACCCACCTAGATCTACTTCGTGCTGCCAACCTTTGAACAAGAGAAAAAAGTTTGGCTGGACCAGATCTCCTTCTTCATGCCTGCTTCCAAACTCCAACGGCGCCTCGCTGCCATGGGTTATTTTAGAATTTCACTAAAGCAACCGAGGGTTTTCGTGGCTGGTTCAGGAATTCGGGTTTTGGTCGGAGGTGACCCCTGCAGTTTTGGAAATAGAAATCGAGATTGATATTTTTCGATGAGGTGTTAAGGATTAAATTAAAAATTGAGATTGGTGTTCCAATTTTGAGTTAATTTAGAGAGAGGGCGCTTCTGAAAATTTAAAAAATTGAATTGAAAATTTCAAAAACTTCATTTTGGGTTGGATCTGTAATTTTATAAAATTATAATTTAAACGGTATTTTGGTCTTTCGGGTCAAAAAGTCACCCCCGGTAGCCCAATCTGCGCGCGGTGTCCACGATAAGCTGTCAAGGACCTATTTTGATTTGCCTGATTTTCATTGGAGGGTCCTTGTTAATTTATTTAACATGAGGATTTTTTCGGTAATTCCAAATTACAAAGGGCTGATTTTTGCCTTTATTAAATGGGACACTTTGATAACGTCCAAAAACTTCCATTAATAGGGATATGTCCAACCCATATTTCACTCTTTGATGTAAACCCAGGCTCCTTTCTGTTCCTCAATAATTTACTATCTTTTTTCCGACTCCACACATCCCCAGTTTTGTTCCTCCCCTTTTTTTTAATTAATTTTTGTTTTTAATTTTTATTTTTTTAATATCTTTTTTAATTTAAAAAAATAACTTTTTTTATTATTATTTTTTTTAATTTTTTGTAATACTTTTTCTCTGCAGGAATCAATCGACTAAGGGAATAGTTGATTAACGAACTAATAACTAAAACTGTGGTTGAATAATGAAATTAATTACTAAAAGTAACAACAACAACAACAAACGTAATATATTCAATCAAAACCAACATGATTCAACAAAAGAATCAAAACAATAACAAACCGAAACAAATAACAAAAACAAATACAAAAAAGTAAATGAAAATCAGCTATTTTTTACAAAACACAAGATATACAAAAATTGTATTGATTTATAGAAATTAGATGATGGATACAAAAACACATTACCTAAATGCCCCAAGTCCGACTACACATGGAAAAATCGGGAATCAATAACCAAAAGTTCAAAAATAAATTAAAAAACGTAATGATTAACTTTAATCGACTACTGAGCATAGTCGATTAAAACTTAACATAGTCGATTAGGGGTCTAGCATGCGCGACTTTCTCCGCCCCGCCGGATCTAACCAAAAACTCTAGATCTGTCTTTCCATTGTCATACCGTCGTCACACCACACCATCACCATCCCCACCATCATCACCACAAAAACACCGTCTAATTTCCACCCGCATGGAGAGTGATCTCATTCTTCTCGGACGACAATAGTAGATCGACTCTCATGGCGAGAAGGGGCTGCTGTTGCTCACGACAGCAGCATCGTGGTGGTTCAGGCCTCGTGGAGCGCAGCCATGAGGGCGTAGAAGATATGGGGCGCCGACAATTCTTTGTCCGACTTCTTGCTTTTGTGAGAGAGAAGAAGGATGTGGACGAAAAAAGGAAGAAGAGAAAAAATAGAAAAAAAGGGACAAGAGAGAAGATGGGTGAGATGGGAAAAAAAGAGAAAAGATTAATAGGAGTAGGGTTTGGGAGGGGATAATTACAACTCTCGTCGCTATATTATACACCATTTTCGATTTTCGTCGATAAATTTTTTCTAGCACCGAATTGGTCCTCAAATAACCAGTTTTTTTACAATTTTCGTCCACCGTTTGAAATTGCCGTTAGTTTGGATGGAAAAGTCACGTGTGAGGCACGTGAAAAATGCACATTAACCTCCTCTTTTGACCTATACTGTTTATGTATCCTTAATATCACTTTATTCTTAGAATTTCGTCCAAATTAAATTCGAGTTGCAATCTCTTTCGATAATAGCATTATGTTAGTAAATAGACATTTTACTCTGTACAACTTCTCATCATAGTAAAACTTCTGAACAAAGAACATAGAAAATAAAAAGTATGAAGCATGAAATTTCAATTGTGACAAAAAATTAAAAAAAAAATAGCACACAAGAAATTATAAATTATGGAGCTCACGACTTCGACGTTTTAACTTTTCCCTTTTGTTTATATATACTACAAGCATCAAAATAAAATAAAACAAATCCCCCGCACATCGGTGAAATCAAAAGTTTCGACATTCCCACTGCCGTCTGGAGTCCATTGGACCAGTTCATTCCGTTGTTGGTGATAATCTCTAAGATGGATTCGACCAAATGGCCCCGTTTTCAAAATCCTCATTATAAGTTTTCTATTGAATGTTGTCGATCACATTTATTTTGAAGAGAAAAAGAGGATATATACCTAATAATCTCCTTCAAGAGTGCAAGTTTTGAAGCGAGCCCACAGCCAGGTTTTGGCCATTTAGCGAAATTGACAAAAAATTTACTTTTTTATGGAGGTTAGAGCCTTCGATGATGAATTGAACGAAGAATGATAATGTCATGATTTTACAGTTCAACATGAGCTATGACTTTGTTTTATCATATACCGTAAAATTTGATATCCATAGTTAAAACAACACGTGTAAGGAAATTAGATCACATGCTGCTTGCATGATCTGAATCCTGCACAAAAAGCTAAATAAAATAATGGCAAATTTAAAGGGGAACAAACGGTCAGAATTTAATCTTTCTTGTTTGCTACAAAAAATACTTATTGTGCTTAATTAACTGGCAAATTCAAATATCGACGGATCTTTTTAGTAACATTATCCGTGCATTTTCCTCAACCAACATGATATGAGGCTTCATATCTTGTCACCTAAACATGATAAACTGATACTCCAAGTTCAAGTTTAAGTTAGCTATTGATATCATATGACAAACGTTCTTTTCAAACTTCACTTGGAGTTTTTTCACGCTTTTATCTTAGTGGCTGCAGATTCATCTTTGATAGGCTCCTTTTTATCATTTACTTTGGTAGTTTTAAGGACTTCCATGGATTTGAGAAAGCTTAGAAT